AAAAGTCGTAGGCCGATTTAAGATACCAGTCCAGTATGAGGGAAAAACAAAAGAGTTAGAACTATATATTATTCCTTCTTTGAGCCAGGAGTTGTATTTAGGGATAGACTTCTGGACCGTTTTTGAACTTTTACCACCAGAAATGAATTTAGAAGAGCTTACTAGTGAGGCTCATGTCTTGTCTAGATCGCAACAGGCCGATTTGCAAGCAGTCGTCAGTAAATTTCCTTCTTTTGCGGATTTGGGACTGGGAAAAACGAGCGTTCTATCTCACTCTATCGATGTGGGAGATGCGAAGCCCGTAAAGCAAAGACATTTTCCAGTTTCCCCAGCGGTAGAGAAGTTGCTCTATGAAGAAGTCAACCGAATGATTAAGCTCGGCGTAATTGAGGAGTCTGATAGTCCTTGGTCTTCGCCGGTTGTTTTGGTGCAGAAACCAGGAAAGGTGCGGCTTTGCCTCGACAGCAGAAAAGTGAACGCCGTTACAAAAAGGGATGCCTATCCGTTACCACAAATAGACGCAATTCTTAGTCGTCTCCCAAGAGCCAATTTCATTTCTAGTCTTGATCTTAAGGATGCCTATTGGCAAATACCGCTAGATCCGCAGTCGCGCGACAAAACAGCCTTTACCATTCCTGGAAAGCCATTATATCAATTTAAAGTCATGCCTTTCGGCCTGACAAACGCTTCCCAGACTATGACAAGATTAATGGACAAGGTGATACCGGCAGAACTTAGAAACGAAGTCTTCGTATATCTAGATGACTTGCTCATAGTTTCAGATAGCTTTGAGGGTCATTTAAGCGTTTTGAGTTCCGTTGCCAGCCACATTAAGGCTGCTGGTTTAACGTTGAACGTAGAGAAAAGCAAGTTTTGTGTCAAAAGCGTGAGGTATTTAGGTCACATTGTAGGTGAAGGAGTAGTGCGGACAGATCCAGATAAAATATCTGCAATGACGGAATTTCCATTGCCTAGGACTTTGAAATCCTTGAGAAGATTTCTCGGAATGGTCGGGTGGTACCGAAAATTTATCAGCAATTTTGCAGCAGTATCAGCACCCTTGACGGACCTTTTAAAGCCCAGGCAGAAATTTATAATGACTCCTGAAGGAGAGGAGGCTTTTAGGAAATTGAAGGAAATGCTTTGTTCTGCCCCAGTTCTGCGTAGTCCAGATTTTAGTCAGCCATTTTATATCCATTGCGATGCCAGTAATTCCGGAGTAGGAGGTGTCTTAGTGCAGAAGTCGGAGAGTGGCGAAGAATGCCCGATTGCATTTGTCTCGAAGAAGTTGAATAAAGCGCAAAAATCTTACACGGTCAGCGAAAAAGAGTGTTTGGCTGCAATTATTTGCATAAAACGATTTCGGGCATACGTTGAGGGGCACGATTTTACAGTCATCACGGACCACGCGTCGCTCAAGTGGCTAATGTCGCAGACGGATCTGCATTCTAGGCTTGCTCGGTGGGCGCTGAAACTTCAGGGTTTTAACTTCAAAATTGAGCATCGAAGCGGTAAGCTCAATGTGGTTCCTGATGCCTTATCCCGGGTCAACGAAGAAGAAATAGCTGCCGTGGATGTTAGTCATGGTTTATTGGTTGATCTCGAATCCACCCACTTTAGCGATCCCGAATACGTCGATCTGGCCGAGAAGGTTAAAGCTAACGCGAGTAGTCTTCCAGATTTAAAAGTAGCGGATGGATTTGTGTATAGGAAAACGGAACACTTGTCAGGGGATCCGATTCACGATAACTTTTGTTGGAAGCTATGGATTCCTATGGGCTTGGTACCCGAAGTCCTTAAAAATGCACACGATGATCCTCTAGCTTCACATGGGGGGATTCATAAGACGTTGGAGAGGCTAAGAAGATACTATTATTGGCCCCGATTGGTAAAAGACGTGAAAGAGTATATTCAGGCGTGCGAAACATGTAAAATGACTAAGGCTCCAAATTGTACATTAAGACCACCGATGGGAAAAGCTCCCGAGTCTGCGAGGCCCTTTCAGAAATTATATGTAGACTTTTTGGGTCCGTATCCCCGATCAAGGAGTGGAAACATAGGGATATTTATCGTGCTGGACCACTACAGCAAGTTTGTATTCTTGAAGGCGGTTAAGAAGTTAACAGCGGACGTGGTAGTTAAGTACATGCAGCAAGACCTATTCCATACTTTTGGTGTCCCAGAGAACATAATTTCAGATAATGGGTCACAATTTAAGTCTGAGTCCTTTCAGAAACTCTTAAGAGAGTACCAGATATCCCATACGCTTACTGCTGTTTACTCGCCCCAAGCTAATGCGTCAGAGCGGGTGAACAGATCCGTAATAGCTGCTATACGATCGTATGTGCGCAGCGACCAAAAGGATTGGGATGAACAGCTAAGCAGCATTTGCTGCGCTCTCAGGTCAGCAGTCCACTCGAGTTTAGGGACTTCGCCTTACTATATGATTTTTGGACAACATTTCATTTCAACTGGTGCCACGTATAAGTTGCTAAGAGCTCTTAATTTGCTCGAAGATAGATCGTTGGCATTCTCAAAGGAAGATTCACTAGAACTTGTTCGCAGTAAAGCGCTAGAGGTGATGAAAAAACAATTTGAAAAGAATGAGAATAGATATAATTTGCGGACAAGGGAAGTATCTTTTAGGGAAGGTCAAGAAGTATATAGAAGAAATTTCAAGCAGAGCAATTTCGCAGCTGGATATAATGCAAAATTGGGTCCAGCTTTCGTGAAAGCAAGAGTGAAGAAAAAGATTGGGCAGGTGTATTATGATCTCGAGGATCTACAGGGGCGTTATGTTGGCAGGTCCCATGCGAAGGATATCAAGCAGTAGTCTCGCAAGCTGTGGTGTTCTCAGTCTTGGAGAGTTATCCCCAAGTCTGATCTTGATGGGGGGGTATTTTTGTAGCGCTTGCTCAGAGGAGATACATTTGTAGCGCCATCTGTTGGTCAGTAGTAAAGGGGGTACTGCGTTGCCACTAGAGCTAGGATGAGAGTGGGAGATGTAGGTAGGATAGCGCGAGAGAGCAACAGTGGCAAGTGTCAACTATCTTCGCTTTCACCCTGATTCGATCCGAGGTTACCGCCACTTTCCCGGCGTGGGGTTCGGTCTTTCCGTCTGTGGCAGCTGAAGTGTTAAGTCCAAATTTTTACTGGTGACAAAAAGATTCGAAAAGTACTCGCGAGTGCTGAAACACATTGCCAGCGGGAAGAAATTCCAATTAAATCGGCAGCGAGCCGTAATTAAAGGGTGAGGAAAAGAAGAGCGAGGGGATAGGCAGATTGGTAATGATTTTTTGGGGTTTTTATAGGCAACCGCTTGGGTTCGAAGGCCACCGACAAGAGAGAGAGGGCGAATTCGACTAAAGAGAACTGGGCGCATGCGCAAACTACAAATCCAGCGAGCAAGTTTAACGCCAGCGTTTCGCCAAGGAATAGCCGCAGCGCTCCAGGACGGGCGTAAACGATTACCTCATTTCCCGTCATAGATAAGTCATTTCCATCTATAACCCATGCCCCGGCCCAAAGAAAACCGCATCCAAGTAATCCAGGGCATAGACTAGGCGACGAACTACCATCGAGCTATTAATTGAGGCGAAAAACAACCCAGGTTCGATCGAACTTAGTCGCCAGTTTCGCCGCGCGCTGAAGGCTTGCACAACGTCGCCGCCGCGATCTGCGGTTAAGAGTTATTTTTAAAGTTTAAAAAGTTACTATTTCGGGCCGAAAATACCTTTCGTTCTGGCCAAATCCCGATCTGGGAGTCGACCGGGAGTAGCCGCCGCGGAAAAGCGGAGAAAGTAGTTTTAAATTTCGGTTTAAGGTTAGGTAATAAGTGCTAGTTCGTCTAAAGAAGAAAAAGTTCATTTTATTTTGTTTGGTGTTAGTGTCATTTGGGGATTTAATTCGATTTAAGCCCCAGTTTAAGTGCTATGTTTTAAAGGATGCCCACAAAGCCCTAATATTCCCCTGGCCCATGAAGTCCCATATTTCTGTGTGTGTTATTTTTCTTATCCCTATCTAGCTTCATCGTAACGACTAAAGCGCTTTCGTCGGAGGATGGAAAAAGTGTGGTGAGTGGCCAAAAACATTTATTTAAAACCCCTTTAATTAGGCGATAATCAAAAACAAAAGAAAAAAAATTATAATTTAACCTCAAAAGAAAAAAAAACGAATATGGGGAGCTACAGAGACTAAAAGAGCCACACTCAGAGAAAAGAAAAGCAGAAAAAATGAAAGTTTAAAGAGAACTAAAATTGAATATGAGCGGCTTGAGGCTCCTTGCTATTTAAAGGGTTAAATATTTAAAAATAATAAATCCGTAGTAAATAAATTTAAAGGGGAAAAAATAAATAAAGTAAATATTAAATGAAACCTTTCCAAGACGGTTAACAAAAATCCCCAGATTGCACTTAACCATATTAATATATACAAAAGTTTTAAAAATCTTATTTAAATATTTATCATATTTTAACCTATTCTTATATTTGTTGTCTATATTTATATATTTATTTCATGCATGTTCTTATATTTAGGTTAAGTGATGGTTTTTATATTTTAGTTGGTAAATAAATTTTATAATGTTTAACTAATTCGGAAGAAAAGTGGCCGCAGCTAGCATTGTCCGCAATGTAGGGTAGCACTTGGTTAAAGGGGTCGCTCAGGCTGTCAAGCGACGAAGGGAATGAGCGACCAAAGGTAGGGTGGGCAGACCGAGACCTCCACGTCATCCAGGGAGGCGAAGGGTGAAGTCAGACGAAAGGGGAATTGTCAGGGAACGTGCAGTAGGTGGTATTGTGTGTGTTATTCTCGACCCGGTTTTAAGTTCGGTGATGCACGCGAGTATCTAAATATTATTAGCAAAAGGCAATACGAGTCATCGGCAAGATCATCACACCCATAGCCGAGAGCCAGAGCCGGAGAATATCTTTCGCGTGCGTCGATGGCTCGGGACAACAACTAGCCTAAATTATGGTTATGAGGGTAGCGGTTCGTTACACCATCGCTAATTTCCTTCAGAAACTTTGTGGTCTCCAAAAAGGAGGTGAGAGCTGCGTCAGCGTATTGATTAAACTCCATTTTTAGTAGAAAGTAGTGAAAAATTAGTTAAACTTTCCAGAGTTTTCTGCTCCGCTGTCAGGGTTGCTAATCGATTGTACACATAATCGATAAGTTCGGTAAGATCATAGCTAAAGTGTATCGATAGTTAGTTGATCCGGTTCCGGAACCATAAATGTCAATTTGAGAATCGAACGAGGGTTGAAGAACGGTTTGGCCGTTTCAATGGGTGCGTTCAGCAGAACAACATAATATCTGATCACTGATGGATTTCTAACGATAGTTGTGCTGAACGCACATGATTACTAATCATGATTAAAGAATTTTGCATCAGTGATCAGGTATCGGTAGCGTAAAAATAGTACGCTACTCATGGCTTCTGGCATGTATCGATAGTCGAAATATCAAAAATTATTAACATAAACAATGATTAAACAAAAAAACTTAAATTCGGTGGAACTCTTTATAATTGTTCAGCCATTTTTTATTTTTATGCATCCGCGATAGCTGTGAGCAGTGCTGCAGTTGCATTTTGTTTTTAAATTGCGCGCTCATTGCTTGATATATTTTTTTACTTTTACGTCATTGCTCAGCAGAACAAACTTGATCACTGATCATCAGTTATCAGTGACCATGTTGTTCTACTGAACGCGATTCCATGACAGTTATTTTATGAAATGTATGTTTTGGAAAGTATATTCGTCCAGTCATAACTTTAGAGATTCTACAAAATTTTAAAACATACCTAAAATTTTTTAATCTCATTTAGGAAATTGGAATATTTTAATGAACTGATGACTCCTCCAAAGTTTGAAGGTCCACTTCCTCACTTAATTAGCATTTGTTTAAGTTTAAATTCAAATTTCGACTTTGCAGCATAAAAAATTGGCCAGACCCATAAATTTAATTAGTTCGAGCCACGCTCACTGCGGTCTGTAGGTCAGCGGCAGCAGGCTTTTGGCCAAACAGCTGCCAGAGTCACGGCCACTGAGGAGGAGCCACATGCATACACGGACACAGCGCCAAAACTTTGCCAAATTAGTTCAAAGTTCAAACATTTTCCAGGCCAAGGAGGAAGCGGTGGCAAGCTGGTGGAAAGCTGGCAGAACAAAAAAAAATGTAGCAAACACCAAGTCAATTATTAAAAATAATTACTTTAGCCCAAGTTGCCACAGCGAAATTTCGTATTTGTATACTTCTTTATTATATTTTGTTATGCTTTCGCCTTCGAAGTCTGGAGTGTGTAAAACTTGTTTTAAACAGGAAACTTCCATAGACTTTAAAGGATGCATTTTCGGATAAAGTTGGTCAACTAGTTAAAAGTTAGTTTCCCATTACTCAGTTTTTTTTAAAATAACAATAAAGAATTCTCAGAAATTATATAAATTACTATTAAAATTATATTACTTATACAATTATAGAAAAAATTGCACAACTAATTATCAAAGCTTAATGATCAGAAGAGGGCTAAATGATTATAGGGTAACTCCTAGTTTGATCTTTTAATATTACCACTGCTTTGTTGTTTTGGATTTTTTTTCCCAAACTTAAACTTTTGCTGCTCGGGCTCATTTTAGCTGAAACAGACAAAAACGGCCCAAAACGAGTGGCATTTAAAATACGAATACCTAAAAAACACTGCCAGCCCCTCGGCCACACCCCCTCCATCCCAATCCCACCCACAGAGGCCACGCCCACTCCGGCGAAAAGGCAGGCAACTTACGCCATTTGTTATTTATAAAAGATTAAACCGCAAAAAAGCCAAAGGGAGAGCGGTGGAGAGGTAGTAGAAAATATAGGAAATGGGAAGGGGATACACTGAATAAAAAATGATGAGTAAAAAGATTAATATTTCTGAATAATCAAACTGCTATTGAAACAAATTTTATTTTTCCTTATTATAAAATGGACATTTTTACTGCCAAATTAATGCTTGCATTTATTGTTTAGTTTTGCGGACCATAGAATAATTTTTCGCCAGTGCTTAGAACCGTTTTATCTGTTTCATGTGCCTTGCAACCGCAAAAGGCGATGACCAAAAAAAAGAGAGAGAGGGAAATTATAATAATATTTAACTAAATATGCCTTCTGTGGGCGGCCGACAACTTGATTTTCTTCTCTTGTGTGTCCGGCTTTATTTATGGCCGCGTCCCTAATTGAATCGCAGTTTATTTGAGCCCCTGAGCTGCGAGCTACTTGAACAAAAGCTCTGGCCCGCTGCTCTGGCCACAATTTTTTAATTAACTTTCTGAGCGACCGAAAGGTAATTCCTGCTCCTGTTTGTGGACTGGACCAAAATGATTTATACAAAACAATTATCAGTTTAAATGGCGTATTGAAATTTCTGCACAAAAGTTCCACCACCTGAAAAGTGCCCTGGCATCGGGCTTTAATTTTATTATGCCGTCCAAGCTAACGAGATTAAAAAGTTTTGCCAACGCCTGTCACAGCTGCTGAGAAAGCGGGGCCGTGTGGAAAATCGGGGGGAAAAGTGTGTGGCGAAAATGGGAAAATTCAGGGGGCAAACTCAAAGTGTTTGCGATAGTTGCAGCTGAGAGCTGCGAGCGGAAATCTGCGTTGCATTAGCCGTGAAAGGCGGCAGGAACTTGTTGCTGAAATGAAATGGCAATGGCCATTAGCAGAAGTTCCCAAAGAGGGGGGCACTTTCCGCGCCCGCCGCAACAATAAATCAAAGCTGAAATATGCAAACATCCCATACAAATCAAATGAAAGCCAAAGCCGCAACCGAACTAATAGAAAACCCAGGACCAATTCGATTTCAACTGCCGAGCCAAAAAAAAAATAGGAAAACCAAGAGAAACTAGCATGGCACAAAAAACCAAAAATATACATATATATCTGTGTATATTTGGCAAAGTAAAAACAAGAAGCGGTCCATAAAAACGCCCACGCTGCGGTGGTGGGCGTGGTCGGCAGCAATCGGCGTAAAAGGCATCCAACGACTATTTCGACGGCGGGAATGCGCGGCATAAAGAAATCAATTTGGTTTGATATCATACTCAAATTAAAGCGAATGGCGATTTTAGACAACCATTTTATTGGGGCTTTTTCTGAGGGATTTGGTAACATGTTCTTTGGGACTTGGATAAACAAACGGAGTTGCTATTCAATAAAAATAATATATTTACCATATCTGAAATCCAGCATTGCATTACAAAATCTGACTTCTCCCTTCAGTGTGTTCACATTTTTCATTTATGACTATCGTTTATTGATAGTTTTTCCCATCAATTGCAACTAATAGTTATCCTCAAAGCAACATCAATTGCAATCCGAATGAAATGGCGAAAAACTGCAGTCAACAATTTGTGAAAAAATGTGGCACAAATAAATGTTCACTGCGGTCAACTAAAACATGCAAATGGAATGGGAATATGTGAGGAGCAAACTAGAGTTGGAAACCATATCCTCGTCATGTTTATTTTACGATACAATATTAAAGCGAAAGTTTGTAAATATTTTGTGTGTATGTGCTTTCACAAAATTAAATGCCATAAAATGCAGCAGAGGAGAAGAGATGCAGGGGCACAGACATCGGGAGACTGGGAGGCAACCAACATATTTTAGCGACAAAACAATTAAAACTGCATGCTGAGCGAACTGCGAGAGGCATCAGCCCCATCAGCCCCTCTTCCTTCAGCCGGAGGCGAAATGAGCAGTTTCCGCCCGGCAAGAGGCGTGGCCAAAATAGAATGGGCCCCTACACTCAAAAATAGTAAAATTTAGGTGTTAAAAAAATGCATTTATTAATTTAAAAATTATTTAAAAAACTTGACAGACTACAACATTTTTAAAAATATTGTGTAACCATTAAAAATATTTTTTCATATACCGGAAAAGATAATAAAAAAAAGGGCTTCCCTTTACTGAAATATTTTTTATGAATTCTTTTAAAAATAAAAACGTATTCACTTTTTTTTTTTAAACTATTATTTTTATGTAAAGAACTGTGTGGTAATTATTATTTTTTCATTATTATTATTGGTACAATTAAAAATAATTATATAGTTCTAAATCTTTATTTATATATATACAATTTAAATAGGTTCCCCTCATTTTCTCCAAGTGCATGACAGCGTGCAGTGTAGTCGCAGCTTTGGCACGGAGTGTCACGTTTGCGAGCCATAAATTTCGCATTATTGCGCGCGTATCCGTGCATAGATTTTCATGCACATTTGCTTAATAAAACCCAGACCCCCGCCATTTCCATACACCCCCAAATCCACACCAAAGCAAAACAAAAAAACACCAAAATCCAACTGAAAAAAAGTGTAAATCAAAAGCGAGCCAGCGAACGAGCGCAGCGACGACAAAAACAAATTTTGATGGCCCACATGGCGTATGCTTAACCACATCCGACTACACACTTCCGCGCATTTGGCGCTGGCCCTGAAAACCGCCACCGCTCTGGATTGTTAACAAATGACTCGATGTGGTTGCCCCCGGGGGTGAGTCAGGGTGTACTTTTTATTTTGGTGGGCTGCGGGGGCGGATGCCCGCCTGATTGCATATACATACCATATCTGTAATGACTCATTTCGCATGCCCATTTATATTCCCTCGGAGCGGGTGTTTCAATTTCCAGCTGGAGTTTGCGGAGCTCAGGAAAAAGCATTGGAAGTGGCAATCAATTTTTTGCTATTGTCTAAACCACTAGTGGTTTTTCATTTAAAAAACCATTGGCTCGGTATTGGATTTTTCAGAATTCAAAATAATCTTTTAGAAGGCAGAAACATTTATAAATTAACTAGTTTAATATATTGTTATTATGTGCCCCATTATGTACATTTTCTCAAGTTTCCTTAAAAAGTAGTTAAAAAGTAAATTTTTTGTGTCTGTCAATTTAATATTTTATTACAAAAGCAGTGTTGAAATAACCTTAAATATTTAAAAAATGTTTAGCGGCTAAATTCTATATTAAAGATTTTTAAATATTCCGCATTGTATTGGATTTTTCCAAATTTAAAATATTCTTTGGAACGTAAATTGTATAAAATTTCCCAAGGTTTCCTAAAAATTATACATTTTTTGTGTCTGCCAA